TTTTTTTACAGAGGATCAGTTTAGTATGCCAGTAAGTAGGGATTTCAACAGTTTGCACCCCCATAGAAACACAAAGTGGAATATATTGTTTGAGTACTCGTTATAGCATTAAATCTCAATGTACAGCACATTAAGGATAGAGATCCTACATGAGGAGTAAGTGCACAGTGACTCCTGTTGTTGACTTTACCAATTGACACTCCTGTCTATGGCATCAGTAATCTCCCTATGCTCCAGTCATGAGTTTCCAAGGCTATGGAAGCTCTCTGAGTTCTCCGACTCTTATCTTGTTTAGACAAGGTCATAGTCAAAGTGGAGGTTCTCTCCTCCCTTCAGAGAAAGGTACCTCCTTCTTTGATGACCTGTTCTTTCCACTGGGATCTCACTCACAGAGATCTTTTGCCAGAGTGTCTTGGCTTTCCATGCCTGAAATACTCTCATGAGCTTTTCAGCCAGATCCGAATGCCTTTAGGGCTGATTCTGAGGCCAGAGTGCTATTTAGGACATCTGCCATTCTATGAGTCTGCTGAGTATCTCACTTCCCATGTTGGATCACTCTCCCCTTTATTTACTCCATCGGTTAGCGTTAGCAGGTACTAGACTTGTCTATGTGCTCCCTTTGACTCCTAGTCCCTCCACCATGACCAACTGTGAACTGAAATTGATCACCTGGAACAGTGAGATGGCATTGGTACATGCCACCTCGATGGGATTGAATTGGAATCCCCTGGTATGCTTCCAACTCCACCACTTGGGGCAAGACAGCCTGAGCATGTCCCAAATTATACATCTCTTCCCTCTCCCATTCCCACTCCCATGTTCAACAGGGATCACATTTCAGTTAATTTTCAACACTTAAGAATAACTGTGCATCAATTACAGAACTAAACCAGTCATATTAAGTAATTTTTTTTTTTTTTACAGGCAGAGTGGACAGTGAGAGAGAGACAGAGAGAAAGGTCTTCCTTTGCCGTTGGTTCACCCTCCAATGGCCACCGCGGCCGGCACACTGCGGCTGGCGCACCGCGCTGATCCAAAGGCAGGAGCCAGGTGCTTCTCCTGGTCTCCCATGGGGTGCAGAGCCCAAGGACTTAGGCCATCCTCCACTGCACTCCCTGGCCACAGCAGAGAGCTGGCCTGGAAGAGGGACAACCGGGACAGAATCCGGCGCCCCGACCGGGACTAGAACCTGGTGTGCCGGCGCCACTAGGTGGAGGATTAGCCTATTGAGCTGCAGCGCTGGCCCCTAAGTAGTGTCTTAAATGCTTTCCAAAACACATGCCCCTCTCTCAGTATTTTTTTTTTAAAATATTGTATTTATTTATTTGGGAAATAGAGTTACAGACTGATAGAGGGAGAGACAGCAAAAAGGTCTTCCATCCACTGGTTCATTCTCCAAATGGCCACAACAGCTGGAGTTAGGCTGATCCAAAGCCAGGAGACCAGAGCTTTTTCTGGGTCTTCCACCTGGATGCAGTGGACCAAGCACTTCGGCCGTATTCTACTGCTTTCTCCCAGGCCATAGCAGAAAGCTGGATCAGAAGAGGAGCAGCTGGGACACAAACCAGCACCCGTATGGGATGCCAGCATTGCAGGTGCAAGCTTAGCCTAGTACACCACAGTGCTGCCTACCCTTCCCCCAGTATTCTTCAAAAATATTTACAGTATTGGTTATATTCTGGTTTTGAAGGAATACATATTCGTTACATAGGGTGGGAAAACAGAAAATATTAAGAAAATAAGAACCACTGTTTACAACAAATGTGCAGAGATAAGTTTGTCACAACTTAGTGTATTAGCTTAATTTATGTACATTTACAAAATTGTAACAACATGGTAAATTCAATTTTATTTATTACATTTCCCCCTTAACAACAAGACTATTTCCAGACCCCTCTTTTGGTTTTTATGGCTTCATTTGTATAGAAATCACCATGATTTATTTAACGATTCTACAACTGGCAGATACTTATGTTTTCTCCAATTTTTGAGATAAAAAGAAGTCTACAATAAAATACATCAGCTTAATTAATTATTATTTCCCATGCATTAAATTCATGGGAATAGAGTTAATGGGAGAAGTGCATAACCCCTTCCTTCCTCTCTGTCTCTTTGTCTTCCTCTGTCTCAAGTGGTAGCATTGCTCAGATTCCAGAGTCCTTGTTCTTATCATCACTGGAACTTTGTGTCTTTAGTCAGAAACTTATGGATGCTCTTGGGCACGCCTTAGCTCTTTACTTAGGCAATGACCATCTTTACCTTTTCTTTAAAATCTGTGTCTTCAAATTACAGAAGTGACTCGTTTTGGCAGTGACCAAATACAGAGATGGTAAAGGAAAAACTCAGTCTCTGTTGCTATCCCATCCTCCTCCTCCTCTGCCAATCCCACACTGCCAAGGTAACCAGTGGTGCAAACCCATTCATATCTCCCTATAGGCTTTTATATGCAGAGGTTTTATTTTGTTTTGCTCTTGTGGAAAATTGAATTTTACTATAAGCAATATTTTTCAAATTTCCTGTTCCAATATATCATAAACATTCTTCCAGGCCATTGCACAGAGATCTAATATATTCTTTCTAATGACTGCATAGCACTCACGATATTGCAGATTAGTTGCTATGCTGGGTCAGCAGCTTAGGTGGGGCTTGACTGGATGCTTCTTCTTGGCTTGGTTAGAGCCTCATCTATCTGAATTGACCTTATCTCAGTTGCAGGTCAACTTTACTGATTATGGCAGAGCTTTCTCACTCATCCAGGGCCTCAGCAGGGATGGGTTGACTTGGTTCTGGTTTACGTGATTTCTGGTACTCCAGGAGTCTGGCCTGGGTTTATTCAGTCAGCAAAGTGGAAACTCCAAAAGAGCAGGAATATGTGGGCTCAGATATATCTATATCTGCCACATTCTATTGGTCAGGGGAAAATAGATTTCACTTCTTCATAGAAGAACTTCAAAATCATGTTGCAGAGGGCATGGATATAGGGAGGCACATACAATTGTTACCATCTTTTGCAATCAGCCACATAAAGATGTTCTATTATTTAGCCTATCAGTTTACTACAAATGGGTATTCACATTGTTTGTATTAACTTTCTTAAGGATTTAGGTATATATTACTGCATTAGCACCCAAAAAAGTTACACTAGTTTACATCTTCATAAGCGCTGTGTGAGTGTGTATTTTAGCACACTTTCATTGTCTTGGGCAGTCTCTTTCCCCCCACAACACTTGTCAGTTTGTTATACAAAAATGGTGTGTCTTTACTCCTTGCTTATACATTTTGTTAATTATTTGTGATGAGAATTTATTTTCAAATCCTTATTAGCCACTTTTATTTTTTCTTTTGCAAATTGACTCTTATGACATCTGTTCATGTTTCTATTGGGGTGTTAAAATTTCTTATTTATTTATAAATGCTCTTTATTTTTTAGAACATAACCAGTTAAGAAGTTAGATTACGCTAGGTCATTTGGCCAGTGATGTCCATTATTAGGATAGCCTGAAGCAGAGCCTTTCCTAACACCCTGATTCCTAGAATAAAACTGCACTCAGATCATGCTGACAGCAGATTCTGCCAGAACTCTGCCATATCCATTCCTTTCCATGAGGAATTTTCTTGCCCTTCCTGGATAGCATTATGATCAATTTTCTTACTTCTTAAAAGGAGAAGCATACACTTAAATGGGAGAGGTTTAGATTAAGATACAGAACCAAGGTACTTAATCTCTTCATGACATTTTAGGGGCATAGACTAAATTCAATTACTTTATCAAACATTTTCTATAAGCAAATCACAGTGTTAATTGCTGCTGGTGGTGGAAATGTAAACCAGATAAACTTCCTGGCATGGAAAATTTAGTCTAATACAGCTCATGTGTTGCTAAGTTTCATAAGAACTCTAAGAAACCACAGGAGCTCCAAGCATTATCTCTGGATGGAGTAAATATCAGTAATGAAAGTGATTATAGCTAATATGTATTGAGTGATTTCCCTGTGTTAGGCACTGTGATCAATTTGTTTTATACATATTTGTCCTCCTAGGTTAAATACATAAATGTAGATATATTGTAATTAGTTGAGAATTTTTATTTCACAGTTTTACTGTATTCACAGTCTTTTTTTTTTAAATGTCACAGTCTTTTTTTTTTAACTAGTGGGTTTTGAAAATATGTTAATATTGTAGTAGTCATAGTCCTTTTTTCAATTAGTAGATTTTTCAAATCCATTACTATCTGAGAAATTTGGGCTTCACAAAAGAGGTCCCCATGGACAAAAATATTAGAACTCATCCTCTGAAAGATGGGACTTGGGAAGGAAACATCCCTTACTGAGGATCAATTCAAGCTGAGAGGGAGAGAGGGAGAGAGGGGAGAGAGAAGGAATATGAATGAATATGAGAGAGAGAGTGGGAGAGAGAGAAGGGGGTCTCCGGATGAATCCACATTTTGAATACCAGTCTTAATCTCAGTTCTGGCCTGTAACCTGAACCTATCTCATGGTCTTCA